GTGGAATGCAGAATCTGTAAAACTCTTTTTTAAAACCGGAGTTCAAGCCACTTATCGAACTCGTTCTTCATCTTTTCTTGTTTTCTAGTAAAGTAGATAATTTATTTCAGGTTAAGTTTATTAAAAATAACAAAATAAGGGTAAAGTGTACTTTTTACTAATCAGTATCAATTAAAAGGAGCTATTTTTTCTGCAAAAATAAGGAAGGGAATAACTATAAATAGAAAGGAAATATTTTAATATTAGATTTCACATCGGAAATAAAATTATACTTCTGTTCCAAGTAGTTTCCTGTTAAATATTATGGGTGTTTTAAAAAAAATTAAAATTAGTTGATAGTAGAAAAGAATATCGATTACATACGGTTTTGTCTGGTCTATTTAGCTCGGCATGATTTTAACTTGTCAAATCGCAGGATGTCCGCGCCAATCGCAAGCATATTGTAACCATTGTAGCAAAAGTATTTGTGCAACACATTTTAATGCTCATCGCCGTGAAAAGAGTGATCGAGGTCGTACACTAACGAATGAAAACAATGGTAAAAATCAAAATGCTCTTGTCGAGAACGTAACAGCGGTAATAATACCGAGGCAAACGGACACTCAAATCCTATAAAACAAGACTACAATTCAACTTTGACGAACAAACATTCTTGCATAAGGTGACATGAAGAAATCCGGCAAATTACATCAGCTGATCCATGATTGCGTAGAGCGTGACATTCAAATGGTCGTCATGCAAGAACACCTTTGACAGACTACAGTCCTAGTCGATACGCACGTAGAAACACTCGACAAGGAAGGCTGACGCTTCGAATACTGATTAGAACGATAGATTAGAACGAGAGCAACAGCTCCAATCCCAACTTAACATGGCGGTGAAAAATCGATTCGACGCATTGCAACAAACAGCCGACTTATAAGATAAATACGACAACTTCGAAAAGTCAATCGAAGAAACGGCAGCTGAAAAGGTCGGAAAACTGAAGAGGAAAGCTAAAAAGAACTGGGTAAAAAGCGAGACCCTAGAACTGCTTAACGCGAGAAATAAAACAAAAAAAGCGTTCAAACAAAATCAAAGCGAGATGGCCAAGCGTCGCTGGCAGCAGCTAAACGAAATGCTAGATAAGTCTTGGGTCAAATATCAATTCGACCGCAGAACTCTTGAAAGAGCGGCGGGGTTACTTCAATAACCTACTCAACGTCGAGTCAGACCCTCAAAACGACCATGAAATCGAGCCAGTGCAAAAAGATCTTGCAATAAACACCGGTCCGATTACTCTAGAGGAAACGACCTCTGCTGTGCATGCACTAACCCTTTGAGTCCCATAGTAGCAAAAATGCTACACGTCAATCGGAATAAGCCTTGTTTTCCAAAACTTTCTTTTGAAGAAACGTCCCTCAAAATTCGATCATAATCAAATTTCAAATACATCATCTTATGCAGTTTTTTGACGCTCTATCTTTTGATATATAATACATTTGAATAATATTTAATTCTGAGTTAGAAATCAAAGTTTTTCCGAAAATTTCGGTTCTTCTCAGTAAAAGAGGGTTTTGAGTACGAAGACAGAATCGAAAGTCAAAAATGTTTTTGTCAGTAGATAGCTCTTGAAATTCTCTATCGAGACATTGCCATTTGAATTTAACGAACCAGAAGTACGAAAACGTCAGTATCGAGTTAGAAGGACAGAAGATCGAATGGGTAACAAACTTTAAATATCTAGGTTCCATGGTCCCATCAAGTGAGAGTGACGTCAACTTTCGCAAAACACTAGCTTGGGGTGCCTTCTGGAAAATGAAGGGCATATTCCGCTCGAAAACCATACCTATCCATCTCAAAACAAACATATTCCAAGCAGCATGTCTCTCAATACTTCTGTACGGCTGCGAGAGCTGGCTCATCACCAGTAAGCTCGAACAAAGTCTCAACAGTTACGCCACCAGCTACTACAGACTCATGCTCAACATCAAACGCTTGGATAAGTTGGCCATTGTCTTCGAAGAGAAAAAGACGAGCTGATTAACAAGCACGTCCTCTATTCGCCCAAAGAAAGCCATGGCAAACGAAAACAAGGCAAACCACGCCTGTTATATCCGGCATATATCGGCAAGCTCATCAACAGTGACACGCCGCCATCGGTCGACGAGTTACGAGCAGCTGCATACAACAGAGAAAACTGGGCCAAGATTGTTGACGCCTGTAAACCAAAAGTTGTTTGCCGTCGACTGATGATGATGATAATAAGATGACAGCAAGTGGAGACAAAAACGATGCAAAAATTTGCTGACAGAAAGAACACTTTACTGACAAGCATCGTTCATGTACCTGTACAAGTGTCATGAGGTTTTGTGAGAGGTATGACCTTATATATGTGTATATAGTAAATCTAAAATGTGGCTTGGAAGTTTATTTCGTAATTTCGAGAATAAATAGATTTGAAAATTACTTTTCTTCTTTTTAATTTACATTTTTGTTTCGAAATGAGACCATCAGATAGAATCAAAAAAGCTTATTATTTCTGGTAAACAAACATTTGCCATTAGTCTGACATAATGACTAAGACACACTTCTGTCGTTTTTCTTTCAAGAACTTTTCTAGCTTTCACAGTTCTCTAGATCACAAGGTGCATACGTTGCCCAAAAAGGAACGAAAGAAGAAATAATAGACAAAAGGAAAGCATTTAGTACTGGAGGTTTTGTTTTGGTCTATCTTCCTGTCTTCCTTTGTTATGGAACTTTTTCTAAGTATCTTTATGTATCTTTTTTTTTCATCTTTTGTTATGACTTGTCATTTTTTAACGTAGTATCCGTTACTTCATACAAATCTGTACTGATTTATTCTTATGAATTCATTCCAACAGTGTAATATATTACATTCATCATCAGCTTTTCTTATATATACATTCATTCTTCTGTTGATATAGCAGTGACAAGTATTTACAGTAGTCCATTTTCTAATAGCTCATAAGAGTATTTGCTTTTACTTAATCCTATCTCGGTATTGACCTACGAGAAAATAAGGAATCAATTATGGCAAGGAAAATGTTTCTTCTTTGGGCGTATACCTAAAAGAGAGAGGAATGATTTTTTGATAGTGAATTGAACTATCTTCTGTTTTTTTTCCTGATACATCCGATAATCTCAATTAATATAATCGTTCAATAAAAAATCATCAAACGAAATACTGTTCTGAATAATTATTGCGTCATACGAAATCATTTGAAAAATTTTCTAAGTCCAAAATATACTTCGCCTATACCGGTGGAGATTATAGCGCCGAACATTGGCCACTACTCGAATGAAGAACGATCATTAATTAATCTCGAGCATCTGGAGAACAATTTCCCGGTTTAAAAATGTTCCACAGTGCTTAGTTTTCTAGATCATAAGGTGCACACGTAGCAGAAAAAGATACTAAACAAAATAGTAGTCAGAAGACAATTGTGCTGAACATAAGTTGCTCTAACGTATTATCTATTACACTCCAGTAAATAACTCATATAATGTGATGATTAATTGACAGAAAAGTTACTGTGTGATGATAAGTGTTGACGCTGTGAGTCTATAAAAAATAAAAACAAAACATCTAAATACAAAAACCGCAAACGTTATATTTATAGAATAGACTTAAAGAAGAAGTTCTGTAGAAGATAAATCAACGGCTAAAGGCAACACACAGACAAAGTTTAAAGTCTATGTATGCTTAAATAAGGCAATAATCGAGTAAAATCTCTTTGAAATAGATATCTAAAAGAAAACAAGTCTTCCAAAGAAGGTGGTAGCAATAGGATCGTACTAGTTAGAGTTTCTTCCTTTATTCTTGAAGTCAATACTCCAAATCGTTTCAATACTCAATGAATTTCCAGTTGTTCGGTATTCCTTCCGTTTTCAAATAGAAAATCGCCATTTTTCTTTTTGTCCTCTTTCTTCTCTCTTCTACTAAATTAAAATTCTCTTCTCAGTACTTAAATGTCTTTATGTTTTTATGTATACAAAACAAATAATTTAAAAAATTATTTTTCATTCTCTGATTAAATGGTGCCGGACAAAAAAATAACAGTAAATCTCCGGACAAAAAAATAACAGTAATTCTCTAAGTCCAAAACACATTTGTCTTCCACTTGTGTAGCTTATAGCGCTGAATCTGGACCTTTATTTGAGTGCAAAACTGTGCATTGATCAATTTCTAGTGTTGGGAGATTATCCTCCCGTTTTCAAAAGTTTTCTACGTAACGTACTTCTCTAGATCACGCGGCGTACATTTTGCAATAAAAAAATAAAAGTCCCAGCAAAACTATAATATTTCTGTCGACATTAAAAAATATCCCAAAATGATTACATAATTTCTGTCGACATAAAAACGCTTTTTTTGCACTATACAGCCAAAACACAATATGTGTATCGACGTAATAAATAAAATAAACTTTTAAAAGAATTCTATGACAATAATAACGAATCCATACCAACTGAATTACCCTATAGAAATAATTATCGAAAATTGTTCGCTTATATCGATGGAAATACCACTATCGGACAATTAAATATGCTTATCTATTGTTTCTGGATGTAAAAAAAGATGAACAAAAAAACGTGATAAATTGATCCTTATATATGTGATAAAATTTGAATGATTAATCGATGCCGTGTATGATCTTTTTTTTCTTCTAGATGAGATTTTTTCGATCTTAGTCAGAATCTCACATTCACTTGTATGAGTACACTTATCTAATGCTGTTTTTTTAATAAAATATTTGCTAAATCGAGTCGAGATTGTATGAGCATTTCATACTCTCTATTGCGGCGACCAGCTGTTTTACAATGTAAAACAAGAAAGGAGTTTGTTTTCTGACGAAAAATTCAACTTTCTTTACAACAGAAAGATGAATTGAAGTTTTTAATTTAAATATTATAATTTATAACCTGCAAATCGATTACAAAATTACAAATTGAAGAATTTTTACCTATCAGAAAAATGTACAAAGAAAAGAATCAATTATCTAAAATCGAGAGACCAGTACATCTGATGAATTGATTTTATCGTCTGGTAAATCGGTGGCCCTTCTTGGACCGACGAACCAATATCTTGCTGATAATAGCCAGTAGAGACCAGCAATAAATGTTACGCCAGCTACTACAACTATTGCCCAATTCATATTATCTTTGGTCACCGGATAAGTTGATGGGAAAAACAAGAAGACTGATGTAATGAATAACCATATTGAACTTATCGTACCTATCAACACACCAAATTTTCCTAAATTAAATTCACCTAATTTGAATGTTTTACGTGCAACTGTGATACGAAACAAGATTGGAATAAGATAAGAAACTTGATATCCAATAGTTGTTATTGAGAGGATTGCAGCGAAAGCTGTTGAACTGGCTAGTTGTAATAATAGTAGTAATGTATCGATAATAAATACCAAAACGACCGTAGCTAAAGGCGTTTGGGTTCGAGAATAAATAACTCGAAGATATTTCGAACCGGGGAAAACACCGTCGCGAGCCATGGCAAATCCGATTCTACTCGTTACAGTCGTAGATGACATTCCGGCAAAATAAAGATTAATTACCAATAAAATCGTTAGAGCTAATGCTCCACGTTCTGGTACGGAAAGTTCATAGACTTGAACAGCAAAACTTGGATTATCAGCATTGGTTATGAAATCTGCTACATCTGGTATAGCAAATAGTAACCCTAGTAAGTAAGCGAATCCAACACAAGCACCAATAACACATGTTGCAATAATCCCTTTAGGTGCAGCTTTACCCGCTCCTCTTGTCTCTTCTGCTAAATGGGCACCTGCAATATATAAAAAACTACTGTGAATTACTCATGAGACTAGTGTATGAAAAAGGTAGATGAAAACTTAATCATACGATACCGGCCTCATATCCAGAGAAGCTAAATAACGTTGATAATATTCCAATAATGCAAACATAACCAAATGTAAATCCTGTTGAATTATAATTCGTTAGAAAAACAGTATATGCAGATGCTCGATATTTTGTCATTATGAGAATTGTAACAACGATTATAATCGTGCTTCCAATTTGAATAAATGCAGCCAAGTTATTTAACCACCCTTGTTGGTCGACTCGAAGAGCGTTTTGTATGGACCACACTGCTGTAATTCCAATCGATACGCCAACTTGTTTATAGACGTTCAATGGTGCTTTATCATCACTTAACAATTCACCACTCGTCGAATTTCGTTCACCATTTAGTACGATAGCAGCATTGATAATATACGCAAAACCAGAACTGAATGCTGCATCACCTATAATCAGGAAGAATTGAGAGACTTAAAATCGTGTAAATTGGTTGTCATCAGTCGTCTATATGGTATTGCACAGTTTTAGAGAACTTACCAGCTACATTTCCAAGAAAATTGAACCATCCACAGATAAAAGATGCTATTGCTGTATATTTTATTGGTACAAGTTGTCCTGCCCTATAGCAAGAAGTTAAGAAGACTTTGTTATATTTTAATTCCATTTATTAACTTACCAATGGTAAACAGACCCAGCACTAGGATATGTGGAACAAATTTCAGCTAATGATAATCCAATCATAATAGTAAAAAATGAGCCAATTATCCATCCCCAAATAATGACCGCCGGTCCTCCCGTATTTAAACCATAATTAAATCCAATTGATACTGAACATAAAATATTAACCGCAGTGAAACAGAAAGTAAATGACATTAAACTCGAAAACCCTCGGAATAATTCTTGTTCATAGCCCATTTCACGCATTAGTACAATATCAGTATCTTCTTTTATTGGTTTTTCCATTATTTTTATTCTAACAATGTAATCTTTTCAAATTTATTTGCTTAATAGTCAACGTTAGACGCGTTTTTAATGTAATGGTTCTGAAACGAAAACAAGTATGCATGCAATGACATACACATAAATTTATAGCGATGTTCAGCTTAGCTGAAGGATATAGTTTAGAAATGAGAAGAAATCAATAAGCACATGCAAAAGCTCTTTATAAACTATAAGTATAAAGGCCGTTCAATAAATTTTTCTTATCAATGATTCTTTTGCTTATGGATACAAGAAACACAAAAATACAGGTATGTTTTGATTCAAACTTCCTTTCCTTGGATAAGCTGACTTTTCTCTTGTCAAGGCGTATGCGTCAAAAATAAGGTATTATAGTACGATGAGCGAGTCGAATTGAGTAAGAAACCGTGATTTGAATTTTTAAAAAATTGTTTTAAGGAAGAAAAACTGAAAAATTCGAAGGGTCTAAAATTTCGAAAAACCCTTTAGTTCAAAAAAATTCAAATTTCTTTCTTTTTCGTTTTTCAACTTTCCGAAAGTATCTTTTTCAGGTTTAGCATCAAAAACTGAGTATGAGAATGATGTTTGATCGAGGTCGAAGTCAACCGTCAAAATTGACGCTGATTCCGAATATGTTATTTTTATTCCATAAAAGATGAGCTTTAACGTTCGTTCAACGGTGGTTCTAATGAAGTACAAAAATTGGCTTCATCTCTTCACACAAAAAGCTAGATAGGTTTGCAAAGTTGTTTAGGAACTCTTCACAGGGAAAGTCCAAGACGTCCATACTGGATAGACCTTTGACTTCGACCTCGATCAAGCATCATTCTCATACTCAGTTTTTGATGCTAAACCTGAAAA